TTGGAGTATGGAACAATCTGAACAGCTGAAATACCTGCAATCTAAGCAGTGCTGGCTCTAGATTTTTGCAGGGACCCCTGGGCAAGGGACCCTATGAGACCCCCCCCTCCCTCTGTGAATATACAGTGGTACCTCAGGTTACATACGCTTCAGGTTACATACACTTCAGGTTACAGACTTTGCTAACCCAGAAATAGTACCTCAGGTTAAGAACTTTGCTTCAGGATGAGAACAGTAAGCGTGCTCCTGCGGCGCAGCAGCAGCGGGAGGCCCCATTAGCTAAAGTGGTGCTTCAGGTTAAGAACAGTTTCAGGTTAAGTACGGACCTCCGGAATGAATTAAGTACTTAACCTGAGGTACCACTATACTCCATGGCCCTCCAGATACCCTTGGACTCCAGCTCCCATGAGCCCTCCAGCTCCCATGGCCAGTTGTGAGGAATGATAGGAACTGTGGTCCAGAACATTTGGAGGGCCACAGGATACTCACCCAGGGGCTAACCACTTAGTGTCATCATTGGGAGCTCTTGCTACACATCATGGTAACCCCCTGAGAGCTAGCCAGACAGAGCCAATGAGCAATTAGGCGGCAGCAGCTACTTTTCCTCCTCATTGGCACCACTGCTGCTGTTGCTTGCACACTAATCTAGTCTGGATGACAACAGATGAACAACATATCACACTAGCGAAGAGGATGAGAAGGTCCAAGGAGCTCCTCTCATTGGGCTCCCTGCTGACTATGGGCCCTCAGAAAGTGCCTACCAATTCCAATCCTTGATACTGACCTTGATTCTGAGACTCTGCCTTGGGGATTTAAGCCCTGTCTATGGATATGGAGGGCTTGCTACAGTTTTAGTAGAAATGTTGGAAATGGTTGGAAGGGGCACTGGTACCATTTAAGGTGAGCAAGGAGGCATGACCCCCTTTCCACACCACTAGCGGTTCATATGCTGTACAATACAGTGTGATGTAGTGGTTAGTGAGACTGGCAAGAATGAGGTCCAAATTTGATATCGAAAGGTCCTAGGCAGGCAAGAAGAAAAAAGGGGGGTTGAATGGGAGCAATTTGAAGGGAGGAGCAAGGTTTGGTGGTGGCAGGCAGCAGTGGTGGCCTTCTTAAGAGCCCCAGCTGGTTTGTTTATTGTTACATTTATAGCCTGTCAATCCTCCAAGGAGCTCAAGGTGGCTTACATGGCTCTTCTCCTCCCCATTCTCTCCCCCCCCCCCCCCGCAAGCAACCCTGTGCAGTAGGTTAGGCAGAGAAACACTGACTGGCCCAAGGTCACCCAGAGAGTTTCATGGCTGAACAGCGATTTGAACCCTGGGATCCCAGGCTCTAATCGAACACTCTAACCGTTATGCCATACCAGCTCTCCTGTAAACTGGAGATGCTACAGTTCAACTTAGGACCTTCTCTGCCAGTGAGCAATGAGCCCTCCCATAAGGCAGAAGATCTAATAGTCATATTTTGAGAATCCCCTTTCAAAGCACCATCTCCTGATCCGTGGTACCTGCAAACCAACTTTTGGCTGAGCCACATTTTTGCCTGTCCCACACCTGACATCAGTTGTAGGATAGATGTGGGTGGCTTGGCCAAGACCTCAAAAGCCAAATGGGAAGCTTTGGTGGGCCTAAGTAGGCCTGAGGGATGGATGTTCCTCAGGCCTACCCTAGCAAGAATGAAATGGTGACAAACTTATTTTTTACCTCCAATATTTCTCTCCTCTCTCACATCTACAAATACCAGCATATATTACAGACTTCTCCAAGTGTCCCTATTTTCCAGGGATGTCCCTGATTTAGAGAAGCCATCCCAGTTTCTTATTTGATCCCAGAATGTCCCACATTTCCTCAGGATGTCCCTATTTTCACTGTATAAACGTTGGAGGATATGGAGGTACGAAGCTGCCCAGAGTGCCTGGGGCAACCCAGTGAGATGTGTGGGGTAGAAATAGTAAAATTATCATTATGGAATGGGACGTCCCTATTTTCATCAGAGAAATGTTGGAGGGTATGATATTATGCAAAGTAATATTATTTATCCGTTGAATGCATATTCAAAGAAACTTTTATGTGAAGGGGGGGAGGAAGAATGCTCCCTTCTCTTAATTATCACTGCTTTCTTTTTAACTAATGGGGAAATGGATTAGTCAGCAACTGGGAACTTGCCGAATGCTCAGATGAAAAAGAGAGAGGTACTTTAAGCTGCCTCCGCAGACTGTTCTGCTTCCCTTTCAGACAGCCTTTGCTGTCTGCTGCTGGTTCCCGGGTGATATTTTATTTATCAAAGGAGAGGCCATCACAAGAAGTAGCTGGAGGGCATGGCACTTAGTTTTGAATGGCTGGCTGCATGTTTAGCTGGAGCGATACACCAGGTAGCAGAGGGGTTACTAGTCACTACCTCTGTTCCTCTTCATGGGGAATCTTGGGGAGTGGGATCTTGTTGAGATAAATTAATGCTGCTGCTCTGCAAAGGCCAGGATCTGAAAAGGTAGGTGTGTTGTGAGAAATGTCCCTTGTTTTGAAAGACTGTCACTCTTCCCCACACACCAGAAAGCCACAGATCAGTCAAATATAATGAATAACCTGTGTCATTTAAGAGCATCACCAGCTCCTGGGGGAGAACGCAACATCAGAGCCCTGCAGGAAAGCTAATACATTCTTCAGAGAGAACTGAGATATGCAGCCAACCAGTCTAAAAAGCCATTTTTTAATAATAATAATAATTCAGTAAACATGCAGGTCTGGTTGAGCACAAAAACCTGGCTATATTTTGAAACGGATCCATTTTTGGCCCTTGTTGCAGCGGTGATGTTCGAGAAGGAGCAACACTTTAAAATTAGAAGTGTGCAGTGGAGCCCAAGAATTGGCTGGTTATTTGAAATTAATGTGTGAATTTCACAGCCTTCATCACTTCTGCAGCTCTGTTCCTTGCCCGTTTGCATTTATTTATTTACTTGTAAGTAAAAGAGGATTTATTGTCTATCTTTCACTGTGAAGTCCCAGAGGCTTATACCAGGCAGAGGGCCTTCTCGGTAGTGGCGCTCACCCTGTGAAATGTCCTCCCAGATGTCAAGGAAATAAACAACTCTCTGACTTTTAGAAGACATCTGAAGGCAGCCCTGTTTAGGGGAGTTTTTAATGTTTGATGCTTTATTGTGTTTTTAATATTCTGTTGGGATCTGTGCAGAGTGGCTGGGGAAACCCAGCCAGATGGACTGGGTATAAATAATATATTATTATTATTATTATTTATTATTATTATTATTATTATTATTATTATTATTATTATTATTATTATCATCATCATCATACCATGATTTTAAAAAGTAAAAGTAGTAAAGCAATTCTAGACAAAAGCAGCATAGTATTAAACAAGGGAAGAGCCAAGTCCCACACAAAAAAAACCTGGAACTGTCAAAGGTGTGTCTTTAGCATAAGGTGGAAGTTGAATAATGATGGTGTTTGATACACCTCTGGTGGGAGAGATTCCACAGTTAAGGGGCAACCGCAGAGAAAACCCTGCCCTAGACCTCCATTCCCCAGATTTCTGCCGGTTGTGGAATGATCAGCCGAGCCCCTTTTGCTCATCGCAATACCCAGTTGGCTCTTAGAATCTTCCTGCTGGTCTGTCCCCTCATTCCTCTGGACTATGGATGGGGGAGAATTTTGTTTGCTCCACATTTCTAAGTAAACGGAGCTACATCCAGGGGTGAAGGAAGGAGGGTGCGGTGGGGGCAGGCCTCCTCAGGTGTCACCACTGAGGGGGGTGACAAAATACCGGGCTGCTTTCACCACGGGGCCTGCAGCGTGCCTCAGCCACGCATCTCTCGTGGGAGTGACACGGTGGCTTGGGTGCCCACAGGCTCTGAGCTGCCCCAAATGGTCCACCCGCTGCCTCCCCCTCAGCTGTAGGGCGGCTGAGTGGGAGGAGGCAGGCAGACTCCTCGGAGGCCCCACGGAGTGTCCTGCCCCAGCTCGCCCTGGGCACAGGGCACGTGCGCCACCCCAGGCACCCAATCGGCTTGCTCCTCCGCATCACACCTCTCAGACTAAGGCAAAGATCAGAACACAATTAGTCTTCCGATTTTGCACTTCTCTGAAGTCTGTGATATGTCGCTAGGCTCGAAAAACATACCAAAATGCATAAAATGTATGTATTTTAGAGTTCAGTGTATTCTGAACAGCACACATAGAGCTAAAATATATATTCACCTATATATTTTGTGATAACATGTATTTTTTTTAAAAAAGAATAATACTAACTTTTGTACAGTTTCCTTTAAATAAATTAACCCTTAAATAAATTATTGCAGGAAAAATTACAAGGAAGTAGATGGGGAGAAGTTGTTCTTGCACTTGCATAATACTAGAACCTGCATGCCACCTCCAAGGGACATCTGGTGGGTGGTGATGAGAATCCTAGAGTTGGAAGGGACCCATCTAGTCTAACCTGCAGGAATAAGCAGCAGTCCTTCTGTGTTGTAGTCCTCCATTTACCTTCTCCCCATAGAGTCCCACCTGGCACTAACCTTGTCATTGTTTTGGCACCAGGCAAAGGTATTTTTGTTTTCCTGGGCAATTTGCAGCACCAAGAAGATTGTTAAATCAGTTTTTAATCTGTTTTTGTAATGCTTTTTTTATTATTTATCATGGAAAGAACCTTTTGACAATTGGAGTGGGGTGTGCAAACTACCGTATTTTTTGCTCTATAAGACTCACCTTTTCCCTCCTAAAAAGTAAGGGGAAATGTGTGTGCGTCTTATGGAGCGAATGCAGGCTGCGCAGCTATCCCAGAAGCCAGAACAGCAAGAGGGATTGCTGCTTTCACTGTGCAGTGATTCCTCTTGCTGTTCTGGCTTCTGAGATTCAGAATATTTTTTTTCTTGTTTTCCTCCTCCAAAAACTAGGTGCGTCTTGTGGTCTGGTGCGTCTTATAGAGCGAAAAATACGGTATTTGCTTTTTCAGTTGTGGCATCATTGTGTTTCAGGGATCCTGGAATGGCTCGAATCACTTGGGATGTCAGCATCTTTATTCAGCAGTTCCTGATTGGCTGCATGGGGATCGAGAAAAGTCATGGCGATGGAGGGAACTGGCACAAAAGAACAAGATGTGGAAGATGTGGGGGAAATATCTCAGACCCTCCCCCCTCCTCAAAGCCCTCTGCTTTTCCTTTGAAATGTACATGGGTGGATATTTGGTGTGTAGGCTTTCTACTTTCTCCTGGCAGTAGTGCTCAGGGAAAAAAGCAACAATACTGCTAAATGTGCTCAGAATTTGACAGTTGCTTCAGTCATTTCTTGGAGTGTGAAGTCAGCTATCTACCTCTGGCATCTTTAAAACAGGCATTCCCAGCCTGATGACCTCCGGATTCTTTGAACTGCATCCTCAGACAATGGCAATGGTCAGAGATGATGAAACCTGCAGTCCAAAGCATTTGGAGGGCACCAAGTTATGAAAGGATGCCTTGAAGCAATCTTCAGCAGGAGAATAAAAATAACGCTTGATCAGTTTTGGGTGTTGTTTGGTGCCATATCATAGCAGAGCACAAGTTGCCACCTGACAACAGCTGGGTGTGAATGCCCACTGGCTAATCTGTGCCAACTGTCTCCAGGCAGCCCAAGTGTTTACTAACCTTCATTAAAGGGCTTGGGGGGGGCGGTGCATGCGATTAAGACTGGATTATTTCACAGTCTGGATGTGACTGCATTCCATTAAAGCAGCAGAAAACAGGCTGTTAAAGTTGTGATTAATTCCTCTTAGCGGGTCGTCTAATCCTCCCGGATTCCACATAATTGAGGTTGTGGGTGAACCAGCTAAAGCTCTGTTTAGGTAAGGAGTTTTGTTTTGTTTTTTCCTATTTGGTCAGAACAAAGTACTAGATGGTGAGATGAAGGATGGTTGGCTTGAACAACATTTGTTCAGGTAGCAGATCACAGCTGATTAACATGACCCTAAAAGTGTGTTCAGGTGTTAATGGTGTGGGAAGATGATGAAACAGTCATGGAACTGCTTTAGTGGAAAACAAGTATTTATATATTTTTCTCAGAGCCAGTTCATACTGTATAATTAGTCATTAGGGATGGGAAAATCTGTCACTTTCAGTTTCTCTGTTTCCCCTTTTCCACTCTTAAATTACTATTTCCACATTGGTTTCTGTTTCTGTTTCTTTCTTTGTTTTTCTCTTTCTTTCTTTAAGCCCTCCTTAAGAAAAGGAGGTGTGATGTAGTGGTTAAGAGCGGCAGACTCATAATCTGGTGAACCAGGTTTGCATCTCCACTCCTCCACATGCAGCTGCTGGGTGACCTTGGGCTAGTCACATTTCTTTGAAGTCTCTCAGCCCCACTCACCTCACAGAGTGTTGGTTGTGGGGGAGGAAGGGAAATATGGGGGAGGAAGGGAATGTTAGCCGCTTTGAGACTCCTTCAGGTAGTGATAAAGCGGGATATCAAATCCAAACTCCTCCTCCTCCTCCTCCTCCTCCTCTTCTTCCTCCTCCTCCTTCTCCTGAAAATCCAGCAGCATTCTACTACAAACGTATCTTAAAATACAGACTTTTGTATGAATTTTTGCCTAATATAAACATTTTTGCAAAGCAATTTCCCCCAATTATATAACTCATTTTTGCATCCTATTCTCACTATATGAAACTGATGCACACTTTACCCCTGATAAATACATTTTTGTATGTACTGTTTGGCAGAACAACGGCACTGCAAAATCTGGAGACGTGCAGGTTTCAAAGGATGGCTATGTTTTGGTTCATGCATTGCTTCAGAATCACCTTACCCCTTATATGCCCACCCAGCTGCTTCAATCTATGCAATAGGCACTGTTATGGGTGCCACATAATACCTGTACCATGCTGCTTCATGCTGCTAAGAAATCAATATTTTAGTGCTTACACTTTGGAACTCCCTGTCAATTGATATCAGGCACTATGCTCTTTTCAATGCATGCTTAAAACCTTTTTTAAGGCAAGCCAATCCAGACATCTAGAAGTTACATGAGTTACATATTTCTTTTTTACAGTGCTTTTTTAAAAGAAAAAAGGGTGCCGATACTCGCCATGAAGTTGCTAAAGTGCCACATTTTTAACATTTTTTTTGGGGGGGGGGGAGGTGCCAGTAATGTGTATCCTTGAGTACCCCAAGAAAAAAGGACTGCTTCTTAAGCTACTGTTGATTTTAATCATCTTTTGAATATTTCTATTATAATAATAATAATAATAATAATAATAATAATAATAATAATAATATAGTAGTAGTGGTAGATCATTTTAATGTTTCATTTTATATTTTTGTAAACCAACTAGTAGGGTCTGGTGACTTATGTTTCTGTGTATCTGAAGAAGTGTGCATGCACACAAAAGCTTATACCAAGAACAAACTTAGTTGGTCTCTAAGGTGCTACTGGACATTATATATATATATATATATATATATATATATATATATATATATATATTTCATTTTACAGTATAATACATATTAGTCATTGGCTACTTCCTACAGTCTTAGTTTCTAAAGCCGTCTGAAGCTTTATTTATTTATTAGTAGCCCTTGAGGGCTGGGGTATGTTTCTCCTATGAGCATTGATTGTTTGTGAATAAGTATTCAGGCGCACTGAGCTAAGCCCCAGTATGAACCGGGGAAGCAGTTGCCTTTTGCAATGTGACCCTTTAAAGAGCAACAACAAGCCTGGCTTTTGTTTTGACTAGGAAAGAGAGGGCTTTCCAGGGGCTTTCATGGACCGGCTTTCATGGGGATCTGATTCTGCTCAAGAAACTGACAGGGTCCTTCTGGGTACTTACCTGCTCCCCCGTGTGCAATGTGTAAGGAAGAGTTACTACCCAGCCAAAAGAGAGAGAAAATGTTCCCAGCAGTCTTATCGCAAGGAAACATATCTAGTTGCTGCCTCTAGTATGTCTTACCTCTCAAGGAAGTATGTCTTTTAGAAGTGAGAGAATTGTATTGAATTAGCACCTGGCATATCCAGACTTATTTACCTACACACATGACTTATTTGAGAAAAGCAATGACAAACCTAAACAGCATCTTAAAAAGCAGAGACATCACCTTGCCAACAAAGGTCCGTATAGTAAAAGCTATGGTTTTCCCAGTAGTGATGTATGGAAGTGAGAGCTGGACCATAAAGAAGGCTGATCGCCGAAGAATTGATGCTTTTGAATTATGGTGCTGGAGGAGACTCTTGAGAGTACCATGGACTACAAGAAGATCAAACCTATCCATTCTTAGGAAAATCAGCCCTGAGTGCTCACTGGAAGGACAGATCGTGAAGCTGAAGCTCCAATACTTTGGCCATCTCATGAGAAGAGAAGACTCCCTGGAAAAGACCCTGATGTTGGGAAAGATTGAGGGCACAAGGAGAAGGGGACGACAGAGGACAAGATGGTTGGATAGTGTTCTCAAAGCTACCAGCATGAGTTTGACCAAACTGCGGGAGGCAGTGGAAGACAAAAGTGCCTGGTGTGCTCTGGTCCATGGGGTCACGAAGAGTCGGACACGACTAAATGACTAAACAACAACAATGACTTATTTACCTGCAGTAATGAGTAACCTCACAACTTAAAAAAAAAAAATTAAAAAACAAAATCCATTGGTTTTCATGCCCCCTAACTATTCTTTCCACTTCACAAGCAACCTCCCTAACCTTTATAAAGAGGTGATGACTCACGGATGGGCCTCCCAGGAACCTTAGCTGCTAATGATCCTTTGAAGTATTACGTCCCATTAGAATAAAGGGATTTGTAGTTTTATCTAAAGCATCATTCCAGTTTAAGGACAATGGAGGCAGGCAAGTCAATGGTAGGTCTCCCATCTGTTTGTATACCTGGGAGACCTTCTCATGGCCAGTTACTCCACCCACTTCAAAAAGTATGGGATGTTTGCTTGTAAAGTAGGGCAGAAAAGGCTAGAGACACAGTAAGAAATGAAACACATTCACGGGCCAGAGTTAAAATGTATACCCTTTTTCAAATGAGTAGAGTCTGGTTTTGAGTCCACCCCATGCAACTTCCACCTCCACCCATTTGGACTTTGTAGAGCAGCATGAAGTTTTCTGCTTCTGTGTGACTACAATGATCAGGCTGAACCCATAATAGAAGAGCCTCTTCTGTTCTTAATAGTTAATCTGAATATGGGGAACATGCAAAGTTAAGATGCATGACAGGGAAAATGACTGATAAGCCATGATGGAGGTCAATTTCTATCATGGGATTTGTTAAATGAGGCTATCAAATGTATTGGGATAATAAATAGAAACACAAAGAGAAAACCAAAGGACAAAATACACCATCATACTTCTAATTCAAGTTGGATTTAGAGTTGTGTCTGTAGTTTTAAAAGGCCTTTTTATTTTTTAAAAGATGAAATTGTGCTGTCTCATAGTCAATAATATGGATTAAAAGTACAGAAAAGAAATGGAGTGGGTGGCATTTCTCCCCCAGTACTGCGGATCAGAAGAATTGTCACTGAGAACCAGCCCATGCTTGGGATTTTATACTTTCACAATGCCAGCTTCGTCTCCTGCAGTGAATTGGAGAAGGCAGCATCACAGACGATTTGTGCAAGATAACATAACTATTCACTTCTTTCTTTTTTTTTAAATGATATTTATTAACATTTCAAAAGAAAAAGATCACATCAATAAAAAAATTAACAATAAAAAGGAAAAATACAAAATACAAGGTACAAAAAAGAAAAAAACAGTTAAAAACAATTCCATCTTTTCATCACTTCTTTTACATTTACTTGTTTCCCGGACCTCCTCATACCACCCTCTTTTGTATTCCAATTCAGTTTGTTAGTCCAGCAATTCCTTTCCCTCCTTATGAATCCTGATCTTTAATCTTAATATATTATAACATTAAATTTTTACCTATTAAAAACCAATTTTTCCATATTCTTTTATACCATTACCGCTAGAAACCGCTTAACTTCAATCCGTCATCATTCTAACATTCATTAATTTTACAATATTTCTGTAAGTAGTCTTTAAATTTCTTCCAATCTTCTTCCACCGACTCTTCTCCCTGGTCTCAGATTCTGCCAGTCATTTCCGCCAATTCCATATAGTCCATCATTTTCATCTGCCATTCCTCCAGTGTGAGTAGATCTTGTGTCTTCCAATGCTTTGCAATAAGTATTCTTGCTGCTGTTGTAGCATACATAAAGAAAGTTCTGTCCTTCTTTAACACTGATTGGTCGACTATGCCCAGGAGAAAGGCCTCTGGTTTCTTCAAGAAGGTATATTTAAATACCTTTTTCAGTTCATTATATATCATTTCCCAGAAAGCCTTAATCCTTGGGCACGTCCACCAAAGGTGAAAAAATGTACCTTCAGTTTCTTTACATTTCCAGCATTTATTATCGGGCAAATGATAGATTTTTGCAAGCTTGACTGGGGTCATGTACCACCTGTATATCATTTTCATAATATTCTCTCTTAGGGCATTACATGCCGTAAACTTCATACCTGTGGTCCACAACTGTTCCTAGTCAGCAAACATAATGTTATGTCCAACATCTTGTGCCCATTTAATCATAGCAGATTTCACCGTTTCATCCTGAGTATTCCATTTCAACAGCAAGTTATACATCTTTGACAAAATCTTAGTTTTGGGTTCTAACAGTTCTGTTTCTAATTTTGATTTTTCCACCTGGAAGCCAATTTTCTTGTCCAAATTGTATGCCTCCATTATCTGATAATAATGAAGCCAGTCTTGCACTTTGTTTTTTAGTTTTTCAAAACTCTGCAATTTCAATCTATCTCCATCTTGTTCCAAAATTTCCCAATATTTCGGCCAATTAACCTCCATATTGAGCTTTTTCAGAGCTTTCGCTTCCATCTGTGACAGCCACCTTGGTGTTTTATTTTCCAATAAATCCTTATATCTTGTCCAAACATTAAACAATGCTTTCCTGACAATATGATTTTTAAATGCTTTATGTTCTTTGACCTTATCATACCACAGATATGCGTGCCATCCAAATACATTGTTAAAACCTTCTAAATCCAAAATGTCAGTGTTTTCAAGAAGCAGCCATTCTTTCAACCAGCAAAAAGCTGCTGATTCATAATAAAGTTTGAGGTCTGGCAGGGCAAATCCACCTCTTTCCTTTGCATCTGTTAATATTTTAAATTTTATTCTGGGCTTCTTGCCCTGCCAGACAAATCTAGAAATATCTCTCTGCCACCTCTTGAAACAGTCCATTTTGTCCACAATTTGCAATGTTTGAAACAAAAACAACATTCTAGGCAATACATTCATTTTAATCGCAGCAATACAGCCCAGCAGTGAAAGCTTCAAATTTGACCAAATTTCTAAATCTTTTTTCACTTCAGCCCAACATTTTTCATAGTTATCTTTAAATAAATTCCCATTTTTTGCTGTCATATTAATCCCCAGGTATTTAACTTTCTTAACCACTGTTAGACCTGTCTCATTCTGAAACCTCTCTCTCTTCATTGGTGTTAAATTTTTCTCTAAAACCTTAGTTTTTAACTTATTCAATTTAAACCCTGCAACTTGACCAAATTCTTGAATCAATTCTAAAACCCTTTTGGTACTAGATTCTGGCTCCTGTAACGTCAGTACTAAGTCATCTGCAACATAACTATTCACTTCTGGACCCAAAGGAGGCTGCATAGTCTATGCCTTTCCCTCCCAGGAATCATTACCGGGGTGAACTAAGAACAGCTGGAGACCTTTAAATAAGATAGATAGATAGATAGATAGATAGATCTATCTATCTATCTTTAAATAAATTGCTCCTGAAATTCCCGATGCAAAAAAAAAAAAGCCCAGAAAAAAAAATATTGTTGTAAGAGCTAAGTCATAGACAGCTGTTGAGAGGGAGCCATGAGACAGTAGTTCTGCTGGGAGTGATGAAGAGGCATCAGGTCCAGTGTACCCCCAAGCTGTTCTGCTGCTGGAAGTAAAAACAGGTGTGCCAGAGATGGTGTAGGGTGGCAACCAGCTTGAGAGCCAGTGTAGTGCAGTGGTTAAGAGTGGTGGACTCGTAATCTGGTGAACCGGGTTCGCTTCCCCGCTCCTCCACACGCAGCTGCTGGGTGACCTTGGGCCAGTCACACTTCTCTGAAGTCTCTCAGCCTCACTCACCTCACAGAGTGTTTGTTGTGGGGGAGGAAGGGAAAGGAGAATGTTAGCCGCTTTGAGACTCCTTCGGGAAGTGATAAAGTGGGGTATCAAATCCAAACTCTTCTTCTTCTTGAGAGTATTCTCAGCCTCTTCCTGCAGTGTCATAAAAGGACATTGGTCAGAGAGGGAGGGTGGCATTGCAGCAACAAGACTGAAGGTAAGACTGGAAGCAAGGCAGAGTGGAGCAGGAACTCACGATGAACTGCTTTTATAGTAGACTATGTACTATAGGTAGGAGGGTACTTCTTTCTTCCTCAGTATTAAGGTGTTGCAGAGATTAATGGAGGAAAGGAGGGCAGTGTCCTCAGAATCACTGAAGCAAACAGAGTCCAATAAGCTGGTAATTAGGAGGGTGGTGCCCACTGATTTAATATGGCTGGGAGAAATATAACTTGCAATGCGGGTATTCTGGGGGGAAGTGGTAAGGCAAAGGCAAAATTTCTCAGACCCATGCCTAGAAAGCACGGGGCAAGTGGAAAACTGCTTGAAGCTGTGTTTTCTAGGTAAGGGACAGGCAGAAGTGTGGATGACCCCTAGGAGAGAGGGGTCCAGTGATGAAAAGGGCTACTGAAGTAAGCTAGCTGAGGGCTCTTAGGATCCTCTGTAAAGTCCACCTCAACTGAACTGAAGTAGTGAAGATGTGCCACTGGGGGTTAGAACCAGGAAACCATCCATAACTCAGAACCTGGAAAGCAAGGGGAGCCAGTGAGGCACTCTCCAGAAGTTTTTGAATTACAACTTCCATCATCCTTGAGCATTGGCCATTTAGGCTGGGGCTGACGGAAGTTCAAATCCAACATTGGGGGGGGGGCACCTCACAGGCTGCCTTTGCATTTAAGCTCAGTCAAAATCCCAGACTCTACAGAATGCCCTTATACCCCTTCCTGTTGAGAAGAGTCACTTAGGGGGATTGCCTTATTGCCCTGCTTGTGGGATTTCCTTAGAAACAATGCAGGAGGCAGGATGTTGGTTTAGATGGCTCCTGGGTCGCATTCAGCAAGGCTGTTCTTAATACATCCCATACAGCTCAGTCCTAAAAAGTGTTGGCCATTTCCCTAGACTCACCTCTTCAACACTGAAGTCATAAAAAAGAAGGGGACATCTTTTCCACAGTCTGGAATCACAACAGTCACTATTTAGCTAAGGGTTATACCCAATAAAATTATGTACTATGGGAATCTTATGCTATGGGACTTCACCTCCCTTTCCTCCTGCAAGGCCACCATCACCCCCTGATTCTCCTCTGGAGTTTCCTCCTGATTCTCCTCTGGAGCAGATTCTGCTCATATAATAACTTCACTGGATTTGACTCTAGGTATGGATAGGGATTTGGGGGCAGATAATGCAGTTGAGAGTTGGCACATTTAATTCTAGAAATGATCCCTTCATTGTTCTTTCAAGAATGGAGACCAAACTATGTTTTTTTCTTGACTTGGTTGATCATGGAATTGTTCCAAGACATGCAGCTCCAAAGGAATTGCAAAGTGCACACACAGAGCACAGTTACTATGAGAAATATCACAAAGCTAATTCTCAATGAGATTCATTGACGGGCTGAGGTCAAAGAAGAAGCCGCAGACAATCACCAAGTCAATTGCACTGGGATTTGGTAATGCTAATGAAGCGAAAAGAGACATTAGGATAATGCTGACAAGCTTATTGAAACCTGAGGATATTTGAACTTAGGAACTGGGAGTAGAAAAATTCATCGTTGAGCAAAAAAATGCAGAGGAACTTTGAAGATGTAAACTGACAGGTCAATCAAATCTTTCTTTGCTGTTATGAAAATGAAACTGCTTCCTGTTTTCACATCCACCCCACCACCCAAGCAATAGATTCCTCCAGAGAATATTCAAACTAGCACACATACACACACACACACACACACACACACATGCCCCGACACCATTTGGAACAAGGCAGAATCAACTCCTCACAAACCACTATCACCACCAGATGAGCCTGTAAAACCAGATTGCAACAGTCCACAAGCAGAGAGTAAGCAGCCGATGATGGCTCAAGTGACAGAAGGCAGGTGAAGGCAGATGCTTCCAGGCCACAATCTCACCCAACGGTGGAGTGTCTTTTACAGTCTGTTGGCCACATTCCCTTCTGAGAGCCATGTGCCAGTTGTGAGTGGAGCCAGAGGCAAAAGGGGGCAGAGCAATGAATGTAAACTTTACAGCAGGCTAGTTTATACACACACTCACCTCTCTATCTTCCATCCGGACAAGCAAGAGGCATTGTCAGAGTTCAAGGATGCATTCCACCCAAGCAAAAGCACTCAAGGTGAGTGTGGAACAGGGCCAGTGAGGGGTATGGCCCAGGGACAGGAGAGGTGGTCTCGAGGCATTTTGCCTTCTGAGCCTGAGCTTCCCCACCCCTGATCTAACCCAATATAGAATCAAATTTCCAGCAGCAAGTATTGTAACCAGCAGGTTCTAAAGCCCTATTCATTCAATAATTCTGTGGAGCAGGAAACAGGGCCTGTGTCCACTGAACCCATTCCCCTCCATTGTAAAAAAAAAAAACCGTCCGCTCTCCTCCATGGATGGAGGAAATTTCTGTGATGAGAGTGTATTCTGTAAGCATGAAAGCAACCTCCCCAATGATAAATGACTTAGGCCCCAAGTATCTAAAATGCCACCTCTTGGGGGTTAAGATTGGCAAAGGGGGCCCTCATAAGTTCAGGATGAGATATATGATTTCTAACATGATTGAGAATCGTAGAGCCAGGGACAGAGAACTTTAAAGCGTTAAAATCAGGATGTGGAAAATATGGAAACAACGTGGAGAGGCAGGACTGAGATTTGGAGATATGTTTCAGAGGTCCAGACTATGGGGAGACCCGAAAAATCAATAATTACATTTTGGATTATAATTTGGTCTTTTTTATTTTAGTTTTTTGTTTTAATTGGATCATGATCAAACATGTTAATTGGATGTTTTTTATTGGAAAATTAATAAAAATGATTTTTTTAAAAAAAGAAGAAGTTCAGGATGAGGACATTCCCTAAGTCAGCCCCAAGCTGTGGAACGCCTTTCTTACAGATGTGCACCTGACACCTTTGTTGTCTACTTTTCATTGTTTGCTGAAAATGCACCCCTTCATCCTGGTCTTTGACATCAGAAAGACAGAGAGAGAGAGGACTACCCTGTTCGTCTGATTGTAAATCATTTTAACTGATTTTAATATTTAATATTCTGTTGTAGATGCTTTTAGCTTATTTTAATATTGTATTATTATATTGTCATAACTCATAACCCAGTCTGGGACCTTACAGTCAAGGGCAGGTAAGAAATCTTGTAAATAATAATCAATGATATACGGCTCTGAGCCCTAAAAATAACTCTTCTGGATTCTTCTCTCCTTTTTTCACCTCTCTTTTTTCTCCTCAGCTGGCTTCAAAACTGGAAATAAGAACAGAAAGTAGTGGAAGTGACCATGAGAAGATGTTGTTAGGATGAAACCTTGCAGCCCACCCTTCGGTTCTCTGCACATATCCTTCCTCTCCCTGAATGTGTGTTAACTCTGCATACATCACTTGGGGGACATAATTTACAGCACAATCCTAACCATAGGTTTCCAATCAAGACAAGGATTTCTGCTTCTGGAATGGAACTTTCTGGGCCTCTACTCCTCATGCACAGTGCTGGATTTATGTATAAGCTAAAGAAGCTATAGTTTAGGGCTCCACTCTCTTGGAGGCTCCCAAAAAAATTAAAGAAAAGAAAAAACCTGGATGCACATTTCCAAAATATAAGATAAAAAGCAAATAAAATAAAACCTACATATAGCAACAGTGTTTTGTGTTGTATAGGCTCCTATGATGTAAGTAATGGGCCCCGCCTGCTAGCCTACTCCCTAAAATATCACTGGTTTGCTCATTTCTATATATAGGGTGTCGGGACGCGGGTGGCGCTGTGAGTTAAACCACAGAGCCTAGGACTTGCCGATCAGAAGGTTGGCGGTTCGAATCCCTGTGACGGGTGAGCTCCCATTGCTCAGTCCCTGCTCCTGCCAACCTAGCAGTTCAAAAGCACGTCAAAGTGCAAGTAGATAAATAGGTACTGCTCCGGTGGGAAGGTAAACACCGTTTCCTTCCACCGCTGCTCTGGTTCGCCAGAAGCGGCTTAGTCATGCTGGCCACATGACCCAGAAGCTGTACGCTGGCTCCCTCGGCCAATAAAGCGAGATGAGCGCTGCAACCCCAGAGTCGGCCCTGACTGGACCTAATGGTCAGGGGTCCCTTTACCTTTTATATATAGGGTGCCTACATTCTGCATGGACTGGTTGCATGACAACATGTGCAAATGGCTTTAGATACCTATTAGGTCCATAAATTACCATATATCCTATATTCAACATATAACATAAAAAACAAATAAAATAAAACCTACATACAGCTACAGCATTTTGTGTTGTGTATGGACCTATTAGGTCCATAAATTACCATATAGCATATATTCAACACACTCAAAAAAACAGCGACAATTTGTTGTTGTCAAAGGGCAGCTGGACATATAAAGGGCCCCATTACCTTCGGTAGCTTAGGGCCTCATCAAACCTAAATCCCGCCCTGCTCATGCACACACCCCATGCCCTCCACAAATCCTTTCCAGAGGGTTAGGAGAACTCCTGGAACAGATTCAGAGGGTGTGTGGTTGGAGAGAAGGGAAAATTTCAGTTGCTCAAGCATAACTCATTGAACTGGCAAGGTGTGTTACCTGGATACTCTGCCCTATGTACACTCAGAGGTAAGCACAACTGAATTTAATGGTGGAGGTGAGCATATAATCTTGATGTGTCACAGCTGTATGCAAAAACGGGGTGCTTACCCAGATGCATGCTTTGGGTGTTGAAGTGAAGCTATTTTCCTTTTCCCATTTTGCCCAGGAAAAAGGTATTTTCCACAAAACTGAAGCAGTACAGAAAGCCTATTAACACTGTGTTGCTTGCAAAGGTTAGGGTGTATTGGTGCTCATTTAGTCTTTACTTTTGCAGCTTTCTGCCTCCAGAGCAGTTGTGTGCATAACTATTAGAAGGTGAGGATGACTTTGACCAGATTCCCATACAGAAATTTGGCTCAGCCAGACCTCTCCAACCCCCTACCCCCAGCTTCAGTCTCATAAAGTTAGTGGACATTGCAATCCTAATGTATGTTTACTAGGGAGCAAGTTCCATTGAAATCAGTGAGAGGTAGTTTTGAGTAAGCACACACAGAATTGCTCTGGCAATCATGAGTCTTCCGTTGATGTTTGTCCTTAAAGTTTTATATTCCACTTAGACTGCAATACTTTAACTCATCATGTGCTGTTTATGTGAAAGGAATCCATGCACTGAAAAATGACAGTGGAGCCTTACTTCTGACTCCAGCCTTGGTGTTTCATAGAATGATGACTTACTAATTAGGCCCGTGAGCTTTGAGGTTCCCCACCCCTGACTTACACAGTGTTAAAAAAAAGAGGAAACCGAAAGCTAAAAAAGAGGAAAAAGTTTACATAAAATGTGTGTAAGCTAATATGTATGTCTAGATGCAAAATTTAGGAATAATTACTAACCGTGCTTTTACTTAGAAAAATGGTGACAGTACTCACCATGAAGTTGTTACAGTAAAGCGTGTTCTCCATAACAGAGAGCACGTGTTGCAGTGGGGACCTGCAGCCACCCCACTGTTGTTTGGTTAAAGGCCACGAGCTGTGACTGGGCAAAAGTGTGTTGCTGGGGTCTTTGTTATGTTTCAAATTGGTGGGAGGGGTCAGATGGCTTAAATACAGGGCACGCAGCTTGGGGCTTTCTCTTGGGCTGCGTGCAAGGGGGGGTTCATTGCTCTCTGACCTTGCTATGCCTGTCATGGGGTCATCTGCTTTTGAGGCAGGGGCCTGGTAGGAATTTTGTCCATTTGGCTGATTGGATGTTGCCATTTGGTTTTTTGCCTATTGCGTAGCAAATCATAACAACTTGTAAGGTTGGCGGTTAGGCATTGGTTAAAATTGGTTGGTGAAGGGGTAAGTGCCTACTCCTCCAATGGTGGTGCTGCATAGGGAATTCCGTTAAAGGAATCCAGGGGCTTGCCATCCTTTCATCCTAGTCCCTGGCATCGGACTTGGGCCGTGCAAGCCCCCGGGGACATGAGGGTGAGAGATGAGGGACTGATGCCCAGCTTCATTTCTCCCCAATATAGTTTCCCTGACTGGCTTCCACTGGAATCCAGAAGTCAGTTCTATCCCTGGGGCAAGGACAGATAGCCGTAACCAATGCCTAAGCAACCACTCACGTGTGTGTATTTAAATAAAGTTGTGGCCAAATTCATGCCAAAAACCTTAAACCAAAATTGATGTGTGTGGTGTGAGTTATTGGGGTGGCTTGGGGACCTCGACGCGCAAGTGCTACACTTGTAACATTTGGGTGGGGGAAGTTACTGGTATTGTGTACCCTTGGGTACCCCCAGAAAAAAAACCACTGATTACTATAATTTAAATAATACATCTCATCATCATGGACAGTGGAGGAAGAACATAGCCATCATGGCTACTATCCATTGGTAACTTCATGAATTTATTTGATCCTCTTTTGAAGCCATCCCAATTCCTACTGAGCTCTTCAATGCTCCACTAGCAGAATTCCGCACAGTCTCCCTTTATAATACTTATTGGACTTTGTCCCCTCTCTCCAAATACAAACAAGAACCAGAAAATCTCCATAACCTATTTGTCTACACTTTGGTGGGCTTAATTTATTCTGGGAGGGCACGTGTGCCTGCAAATTTCACAGCTCCTACCAAAAGTGGAGGGGAAGTTATTGCTGTTTTCATATTCCCTGTAGGTATGCAAGGGGAACACAGCTTAATTTTACACAGAACAGATGGGAACCCAAATCGCAGGCAGAACACAGAGTGACTCAGAAACAGATCAGATTTTTAAAAAGCAGAGATACAGATATAAGGTGAATCTTGGGATTGATGCACACCCCGGGTAAATACTCAAAACTCCTAGTTACCACACACTTGCAATGTATTCTAGGATACATGGGAATATATAGTCTTATGTCACTTTCACATGTGTTCAGTCATATGCCCATTGTTCTGTGACTTTTAAATTCATTTAAATTCAAGATTTCTGTCAAAACATCAATTTCTAAACATATTTTATTTCTATATTCTCATTTTAAACACAGCACATTGGAATGCACGAAGATTGAATTTCTCTGGCACCCCTAATGTTTATTATCTGTTTTACTAACTGGGGCATTGGTCTCATCTTGTGGAAGACTCAATAATACTCTGGGGTGATTTGGATCATCAAAATGCTGGTAAGCCTATGATCCTGCCATGCATTCAGAAAGGAGTCCTAACCCATACAGAATCAAAATATTGAATTAAAAAGGTTGGGGGAGGGGCAAAGAAGGTGAAGTGGGGGGAAAGGTAAACTTAAAAGAAGCCGAACAACCCCAACTTTTCTCACCCAATTGTTTTTACTTAACAGTTTAGGTCAGTTTCAGCTAGGTCACCAGGATGTGTGTGCCTTCTGAATGAAGTCTTTAATCGGCTGATGGATATGAAAAAATAAATTACAGTGGCAAAATGTAATAAACATTAAAGGAAAATGATGAGGGTAATATAAGAACATTGATTTAACGAGGATGATATAGAGGAATTGTCTGTTTTATAGGTTTCTGGATGTCTATTAGGGGCTCTGTATTAAGGGACACGGCTGTTCTCTTGATATACTTAAGAGCTGTCAGTAATTCCTATTTCACAGTCCACTGCTTCAATTCAGAAACCATGTTCCAGCCTTGCCGACCCCATCCCAGGTTCGCTGGAGGGTGACCGTCTCTGCCAGAGGTGTGCTTTCAGGGGCCTGTCATGGGAAGCAGCTATATTCTTCACAATTGGGCAGTATTTAAGAAGAGTGGGTGATTGTTGGCTCCCCCCTTCCTTTTCTCCTCGCCCTCTCCTCTACACCCTGTTCTGGGACTGCAGTGTCATTTGTTTCAATAATTCCTGTTCCCACCAGCTCTGTGATGTCTTGATCTTCTACACCGGTGTCTCGCTTTCCTCCCAGGCTAGCCAGACAGTAGAAGATAATGTTTTTGAACGTGCTTTGCTGGATGGGTAAAAGTTTTCCTGAATGTTCTGAGAACTCTAGCAAAGCTGGCCTCAGTACCCTTGGGCCTCAGAACCAGGTCTGTGGGGTTTTCACAGCCATCCCACTATGGAGGTCCATAGGCCCTCAGATGAACAATCAACAGGGTAATTCAGTACATGACTGCTCCAGAGAAGGAGAGGGTGAGGTCCAGCAGAGGTGACCACTTCCACCGCCCTGGGTGCAGAGCTCAGGGGGTGCCACAGGGCATTGCGACTACGACATAATGAATTAAGCAGAATGTAGGGAGATAAGGGGAGGGTGCTGAATTTTGGG